CACATGTTTGTGTGGGTGCGTATGAACCCTGGACCACTTGTGTTGTGTTGCTGTTCAGGAGGTTGAAACTCGAAAAACCCAAACTCAATACCCAACTGCGCCTAAAGCCAGAGTCTAGTCAATCTAAGTTACTAAGCATCATGTATAACATAGGGTTTCCTGACTATGGTACCTTATTTCAAGTTGCTTACCCAGATGGGTCGAAGTACCCAGTAATTAGGTGTTTTGGGTTTGGGAATAGTATTTGTAGTACAGTTTTAGGTTGAGTATATGAGCCATGGTCTAAACTCTTAGTATCCCCCTTAATAACCGCTATAATATAATGCTCCCCTATATAATCCCTCATATAACCCCCTTTAATGAGTTTAGATTATGGTTCATATGATTATTTACTAGATACTTGGACCCTTAGGGCTAGCAACAACCGAGTTCTGCGCAATAACTACCCTCTGATCTGACATCCCATTAAGCCATGCGTAAGGGAGGGCTTAGGGTTTTGGGGAAGCTTGCGGGTCAAAGCTGCAGGTTAGCCGGTGCTTTATGACAAGGGGCACTTACCCCTAAGGGTCCAAATACCTGCTAATCATAAGTTTACCCAAGTAACCTATATACCTATAGAACGGGTGCTGCACCTCATATTTGAGTATCCTTACCCTTGTTAAGGGTCTATGGTCCCCCTAAAGTAGATAGAATATGGGGTATATGGGGATCTTACTCTTATATACCAAAAGCCATTTTCTATCTACATAAGGGGACTATAGGCCACTCTAGGAAGTTGCCACTGTTTCGAGCAAGCAAAAACATTGGTCCTCGGCTTTCCCTGGCGTTGGTTTCTTCTGTTTGAGGCTATTAGGCAACATAGGCGGCTGTCATGCTCGCGTTTGGAGCAAGCACAATGCAACAATTGGGCCCGCGCAGACAAGGACGGCTTGATAATTAGAGGGTGTCCTACTCAAAGGGGCAGCAATCTCGACAGCTTTCCTTCATATCTGGAAAGCCTAGCACCTAGCAAAGTTTCGTCCAATGGAATCACTGCGCAGCAGTTTTCTTCCGGACCCTCTGTCCATCAATCAACGATCTGACTGCACAGCGCAGGTAAAGCTACCTTCCAAACAGTCAAAGCAGCAGTGTCAGGCTCCAAGGTTTTTAATCTCCTCCCCCGAGTATTAACACCCCCCTCCCGAAAATGAATATTCCGAAAAACTATTATAAGATAACACAATGGGTTCTATTTAGGGGGGGTGGGCGGGTTCAATATCAGGGGAAGGGATTTGAAGCAGTGGTTGATAGGACCTCTCCTCTATTTGAAACCTTAGCTGTGACTACCCATGGACCTCAAACTAAACGCTGCTCGCCGCCTTGACTCCTTGAGCCTTCGAAACATTTCAGCCAAACTCTTGCATGAAGTTCCCAAGTTGGAAGCTCTAAAGCATGTCTGTTTTCTGGGGACGCCAATCGCTGTTCATGTTCAAGCAGTTTGGAGGGGTGGCGCGAGATAACGAAATGACCCACAGTCTGCTTACAGTCTCATCTATCTATTGTCTCTTGGAACCTCTTATTTGGTGAGACTTCAGTAATTGACTGTGACCTCGCACCACCAGACCTGAATACCCCATGCCCAGTCTCCAGACACATAGTGTAGAGCTTACGCAGAACACCAAACCCAAACTCCACAGCTGCGCACGTAGTACTCTGAGATCCAGAAACATCGAGTTCGAACAGATAAGTTTAAAATCACAAGTATGATTCAAAGAAAAAGACCCACAGTTTGGACACACTCCACTGAAAGAACTGATACCTCAACCGTAGTTACAACCTTTAGGGTTTGGGGTCTGGGGCTTACAAGCTTGTGGTAATCTGGGCTCCCTCGTGATGTCGAGCTCCAGCGATAGCTCTGATTCCTCGGACAGCGAAGAGGAGAAGAAGAAGCTGCTCGTCCGGATTCCTTTAAAGGGGCTTTTTTAGGGTGCAGGGTTTAGGGTTTAGGGGCATTGGCATCTAATGTACGGTTTAGTATATGTATATATATATATATAATACTATCCCCAATGGACTTTGAATGTTTTCCTTGTGGGACTTTTAGAGACAGTTTCATAGAATCTACCATTTTAGACATATACTCATATTCTATCTACTTAAGGGGAATATATATATATATATACACACACAATATACCATTCTCCGTGCCAATGGACTTTGAAGGTTTTCTTGGTTAGACGTATGTCGTAAAGCAGGTTGGAGCATAGCTATTTCATATGGCTGCGTATACTACTTACTGTAGACCCATGGTTAATCGACCCCTTTTAAGGGCCTTCACATAAGGATCCCTAGTATAACCCATAATAAGGGGAGGGGGTTTAGGAATCAGGATCCTGGTGATAATTGGAGAATTTCTAGGAACCCCTATGAGGGGCTTTTGCTGCTAAAATTTCACGGGCGTTAAACCTAAAATCCTGAGCCCTAAATCCTAAACCCTAAACCTTAAGGGGGATGCTAGGGGTCATATGTAACCCCTGAAGGGAGATTCATGACCCTGAGAGAATCCCTCTGTTCTGCTCTTCACCGGTAGCATGTAAACAGCTGGCACCCTAAACCCTACAAACCCTAAACCCTAAACTGCTCCGCGACGAAGGCCTTAACCCTTTCCTGGGAGGAGTCTGGAGTCCGCACCCTGCCACAGTAAAACATTCCTGCAATTCCGGTTGCTAGAGGGTTGTGTGTCAGCGAGAACCCTGCACCGGGTGGATCGAGGAGGAACCCCCTAAACCCCAAACCCCGAACGCTCAACCCCAATGAAGCCCTGAGCCTCAAAACCTAAAACCCCAATCCCTATAGTCCCCCTTAAATAGACACCATAGGGCTTTGGGTATATTATAATAAGATCCCAATATACCCCATAGTCTATCTACTCAAGGGGGACTGTAACCCCTAAACACTTAATCCCTAAACCCTAAATAGTAGTTTCCATGTTCTTTTGCATTATCCCTATATAACCCCAAGAATCC